AAGAAGAGGGCCTTGGATCCGGTCTGATAGGTCTTGCGGTAGACACGCTCAACGTCCTCTCGGTCGATCTGCTGGAGGAGATCCCGCTGCATGCTAGGCGAATCCCAGCAAGGAGACTTCAGGTACAACTTGTCATCGATGATGGAGTAGATCCACTCGCCATCTCGGTAGAAAACGAAGCCGTAGATGCCGATGCGAGTGTCGTACTCGACGCAGATGCGCTGAATGCCACCCTCGACGTTGGCGAGGGCAGTCAGCGCAGCCATCAGCCAACAGTCTCCGAGGCTTCCCTGCGTTACATCTCCGCCATTGATCTTCTCTAGGAAGGTTGGATTCTCGAAGATTTCGTGGACACGCTTTACTGCCTTGGGTACAAAGGCGTTTGGATTCAAGAGAGTTGTTTTAGAAAGTTGCCATTTGGTATGGCCGAGAGTGTTGAGACAGTGTCCCTTTTTCCGCTTCAAATCCCAGTCCTGAATGGCCGATTAGCTCCCAAAATACGGATCAGCGGGAATTTGAGATGGAGGTGACTTACCAAATCCCAGCCGGGATCCCGATATCGCATGTTGACTCTACGGCATTCTTGGATTATCTTTTTCACTTTACGGCGGCATTCCTCGACAGCTCGCTCATACCCAGCGCTAAGTAACTCGTTGGGCTTATCCGAGCTTGCTGGTGGTAGAACAGGGTCGAATGGCAGCACAGCCAAGGCCTTGTCGAACTTCTTGTTCTGAAACTTCTTCCAAATATGATTGATAGAAGGCTGCGGAGGCGTCTTCTTCTTTTTCGTCTTCTTCTTGTCGGCGGTGTTTGTTGATGCCGGCACAGGGCGCGGGCGACGAGGGTCGTCCGACTCCTCTGAAGAGCTATAGCCGTGCATCGCGTGATGGGATAGGATAAGCAAGGAGACTGAGTGATACGAGAAGGCTGGGAGCGGCTTGAGACGGCGAGGGAGATGGGGGTGCGTGTACAATGAGAGCGAGAAAGCGTCGCGGCGCAAATGACTGGTCTAGGTGAAATGAATGAAGTTAGAGCAACTTAAAAGATAAGACGCGAGACTGTGCAAAACTGACTGGGTGGACGAGTGGACGTTTAAGAATGAGGACAAGAGGGGTAGAGGAATCAAAAAAGGTTGACTCAATTAGCTGCAACGCCCGTGAAGTTTGGACTTACAGCAGTGCGTGACAGCCTGTTCGGGTGGATTCGACGGCTGAATGGGAAGGATGATGGTTCGCACTGGTGCATACCCGCACAACGAGGCAGCCGCAGGCGTTAGACGGGTACTCTGGGTCGACATCCGAGAGGTGGGAGACTTCAAGACCCCGGTAAAGGCTCTACGAGAGGGATGCTGGCCATGAGGTAAAGATACGACAGACCGTTACCTTCCCTTCTAGAATATCTCGGTCCAGCTGCCATAATTGGCTTAATTGTGTAAGGCAACCAGGCAACCTAATTACACATTGCCAACGCATGTTAGGCAACAGGCCAGCTAATCCCGTCGCGCGAGATGCCCAGAATTCTCTGTGTGCAAGGATCCGCATAAGCTCGGTATTGAAGTGGTCGTGATAGCGTTCGTATCACAGTATACACATGAGATTATGGATATTGCCTCGTATTATCACCTCGCGAAATCCACTCGAGGCACGTAATTCTGGAAAAGGTCACTCAGCAGAATTTCAGGCTGGCTCAGACATGCGGACTCTGACTTCCGACGCGGCAAACGCAAAGTAGCTGAATGCTAGGTTGTAGGATCGTTATCATGGGCTGAGGCGATGCCAGTTTCTGTTTTCGTTCATGGGTGGGAACTCGTGCGATAGCTAATCACTTGGAAAGGTCCACGCTTTTCTTCTTATAACTCATTTCCCGTGCTGACATGGAACAATTCAATACATTCATCACGACGCTCGAGGGTGATACTAGCACGTTTCCAGTGTTCTTTTGATAAGCCACCGGTTTTCACTCAAAGTCCCGATTGAAGTTATTTCGGACAAGACATGCTGGATGAATGGCTACATCCTGCTGGCGGTGCCGGGAGTGCGAAGACGGTCGACTCCGATCGAAAGGTTCGGGTCGAGAT